AAAAATTTTAAAAAAAAAAAAAAAAAAAAAAAAAGCAAAAGCAGATGACCTGCTTAACACAATTTGGAAAAAAAGATGGACTTTTAAAGCTGAAATGCCATTTCACTACAAGTACCTACATTAAAAAAATATGGCGACCCACACCAAAACGAAGCCTCATTTTAAAGCAAGTTATATCTAAGCCTACTGTACTTTCAGCGCAAATTATGACCCTTTTTCTTTCGCTTCAACCTTCACTGCAAAAATGTCATTAGCAACGTCGACATCACGGTAAAGAAGAGGTAACTAGGCAAAGCACCTATGGCAAACCTCACTGTAAATTCATCAGTCATTTTACAAACTAAAGTAGTTTTTTGAAAAGAAGTTAACTTCCTAATATAATCAACAACTACCTATAAAAGTACAGCCATTAACAAATTTTCTGTTTCAAAATAAAAAGTGAAATTCTAACTGCTTAGTTAATTATAACAAATGACTAACAGTCCAACGCCAACTTAACCTACATCAGCTTCATAGGAGTAAACAAAACCTCTGCAACGTAAGTGTCCCGCCAAAAGCGAATAAATTATACAAAGATTAGGATGGCACCTGTGAAAAAGCCAGCCGAAAGAGGCACAGGCGAACTTATTATGTTGAAGCGTATCAGGATTTTCCATGTAAAATTGAGAAAGTCTCCAGTAAGTAGTTCAATTAAAAACTTGTTTCCTGAGCCTGCTTTCAAAAAATCACAGTTTGGTGAAGTAACTTTAAATTTGAATTCCAAGTGGAAAGAGACGTGATTACAAAATTTTTGTATCTTACACTCAAAAAAAGTGGTTTTATTCCAAGAGTTTACGAAGACTGTAGATGTGCAGATTACTTACAGTGCAGCTCGTTTTAATCAATAAAAATTAATTCTGAACTAGCTTCTCAATAAAAAGAACCGAACAACACTCCGAAACGAGTAATGGTAAAATTAAGTACAACCAGCATTAAATTCCGTACTTTGGCACTCATACAAATTTTGCATTCCTCTCCCTCTGCAACGTCATCTGCATTTGAAAAGACCTGCCCCTTTCTCAAAGAAGTAGCCTTTTTCTGAGAAGGAGCGGTGACAGGGACTGCGCGTGCTGGAGATTTTCTAGAAAACCATCAAACTGTCAAGCAGAACTTCTCCATGTATGAAGCAACAGAATAAGAACTCAGTAACGCAGTACCGGAAAAACACGTATAGTTTTTGTTAGGAAAATGACAGAAAAATAGAATAATTTCAGAACCTAGCTGGAACTGGTGGAGGACAATCTGATCGTGCAGAAGATCCAAACTCAGTTGCGGAGATGCGGACAGACGACAAGTCAGGTGGTGGTAGGCGTGGCATAGCAAAATTGTTTTCTAGAGCTTCTAATAAGGAGCCGCCATCAGTGTGTAGAGGCAGTGTTGGTCGCACCCACGCTCCGACTGCTAAAACATGATGTATACATTAAAAAATTGTCGGATCAAATCAAAAAAAAAAACTTGAGTTCCTTACGAGGAGTCGACAGAGCACTATGTTGGTATGGAGAAGTAAGCATTTCCCCTGTTTCTGATTGCGAACGCCGATTTAGTAACGCTTGAGGTGTTACGACCCCCGAACTCTGAGTTAGCTGATGTTGCTGCGAACCAGAACTGAAAATTTTTTTATTTTAAAATTTGAGCATCATAATCTTAAGCCACTTACTGTAAGGGAAACGTTACTGAAAAGTAATCCGTGCCACAGTATTTCTTTCCTATCGCGTATACAAGTTTTAAAAAAAAGTAAAATAGTTTATTTCCCAAAAGCACAAGTGGCATTAAACTTTAGTTACGTCACACTCAAAAATCAAATACTGGTTTGGTACCTTTCCAAGGCCAATGATCTGGAAGACGATGGTGACGGTTCAGGTGACAAATCGATAAGACTTCGAGTGTTTCGAGATGCGCTCTGAAGAGAAGGAAGACGGTGCTGAACAGTGGATAAAGTCCCAACCTTCACAGAACCTAAAAAACCAAAAATATTCCTTCCTTCAAATACATACTGCGGTTACACAAAAACGAGTAATCTTGCTTAAATACTATCAAATATAGAAATGCATTTTTGCAACATGAAGGTGTAAATAAAATTTTAGATTAAAATATCAATGAAAAGAACTACTTAGTTCATTATGGACTACCACTCACAATAAATAACCGTAATCTTACTCAAAACCTTTTTATTCTGACTACCTTTTTGTACGCTGTAAAATTTAATGACTTCACTGCTACCACCTTCTCCCATAATACAATAGATAACCCCCTCCATCTTTCACGGCCTCAAAACCCCTCCTTTTACAACAAGGATTCATATGACCTGTAACCACTCTTTACTTAACACAATGAAAAAAGATGAAAAGCAAACAAGCAACAAGGATCACAAAAAGCGTGAGTCCCTGACTTAAAAACACGCTGCCTGGGTGGTAAAAATTTATGAAGTAAAGGTGAATTCTTTGGGGACTTGCGCTGTGGAGCAAATAACTGTATTTCTCATATTACCATTAACAAATATTCGTTTAAATATCTTCTGTATACAAGAATAATACCGCTATGTTACAGTTTTCCAAAGTAGACCACAAACTAACTTCATAGCTTACACTACTCATTCCACAATGGACTTTCAGCAATTCCGCAGGATGACGGTCTAAGCGCACTGACTAGCTATTTGCATAAAAGCCGAAGATGGGAACAGTTGGCAAAAGGAGAGGAAGCAGTACTAAATAGAAAGGAGAGAACACAGCCTGTGCTTTCAGCCATGTATATCCCAAAAGGGTCGTGTGAAAAATACAGTGCGGCGCAGCAGCAACGTCTCAGCCTTTAATGTTACCAGTTTCAGTCTCGAATCCGGCAGTTTTGCAATGTACTCATAAGCACTCACATCTAAAAAAGGTGGCAAACTCAGTTCCAATAGTTTGTTTAACTATGCAAACTTCTTTACAGATGTTTTCAAACGAAAAATTCCCACGAGACATCATTTAATGATCGAGTATCCTGGTAAATTAACGAAGACTGATGAAATGCTCTTGACCAGGAGAAATACGACAACAGTAGAGTAGTAGAGAAGTGTTGTTTCAGAGCATTGAGCGAAGGGACAATAAGTGTTTTGTCGTTCCAGTAGAATGACGAAACAGTTACTGCTACTGTGCCATAATTCTCAACAACCTCTCTGCTTTCTTACTGCTACAAAACATCGAAATCACTACTCTCTATAAATTTCCAACTGCGAAGCACGAATTTTCAGCGCCAGAAGGGGAAATTATAGCCCTCGGCAGAAGTTTGACACGACCAACATTTCTCCGCGATTGCATCAAGCTATGTGGGCAACTACACGCTCTCATCGCAGTTTGCTTGAAGGATTGGCCTCTTCGGAAACTTCCAAATATATATGTATATATAAAGCTATCAGTGTTCAACGGCCCTGAACTTTCTTCTTAAACCACTAAAGCCTGTTTCCAATACTCCTTGATCGTAACTTGTTGATTCTTAATCTATTATAAACGTTGAATTACTAGCAAACTCCCTTTATTTTGGTGATAGCGCTAGTGAATCCCATAAAAATTCCGAGCTTCTTATTTAAAAATGGTTTCTTTTTGGAAGTTCCAATTCCACTTTCAAAATAAGACAAATTCTACCCGCTAACAGAAGTAAACTAAAAAAAATAACTTCCCTCTCTTTCGTAGCTGTTTTCACTTCATCCACACCGTAAACTTCCTACATCTTCTATTTCCAATCTACAGTTTAATTACAGTAGAAAACTGAGTCGTTATTTACTTCTCTGCCAAAGGAGATCATTACCTATCCCTCCAGCAAATTGCCACAAGATTAAAAAAATCCAAAAAATGGAGCAGCACAAACAAGCTAGGGCGAGATTAAACAGCCGCCGATTCCAGCTAAAAATAACAAAAAAGTTCCTCAGTTAATAAAAAGTCACCTAACAACCGAATCTTCTGCGTCGTCCCATAAACGTCAAAAAAAGCCCACAGTTTAACCGTGGTATCAACATAAATTATCACACGCGCAGCCAGGTTGTTCTTCGCCATGTAAACTTCACCTTAAAAATATCACTCAATAACAGAACCATGCAAAAAAGTAAACAATAATAAAAACCTTTGTCGGTAATCCAGAAAGAAAGCTCATCTAGAACTTTTGGTTGAGCAGCAACATCCTTAATTCCAACCCAGTATTCAGGACGATTCAATAACTCGTCACTGTCCAGTGGCAGAGAAGAGGTAGGAATTGTGATCGGGTCACAAGACGTAACCCCAAAAGCTAAACTGCCACTGTACGCGTTCTCTGTTTCCAAGATCTGGAAGAAAAACTTAGAAAGTGATAATAGCATGGGTAAAAACAATTTTTAATGACACATCCTTAACTGAAACAACAATAAAAGAAAGTGCAACCCAAAACAGAATTTAATCTGAATGGTTTTTATGAGCGTCTGTCGAATGACAATGCCGTCCGACAATGACAATGACAAAAGCGTGGAAGCGTGGAAACGTTTGACGAACTCGAAGAAATGAGGACTAAGTACGAAGAATAAAAATCTGCTAGACAACTACAATTTTTAATTAAGCAACCTGAATTACAATCTTTTCATTGAAGTTCAACGGACGATGAGTGAAAACGTAACCACAGGCATATTCTGCTGCATCCCTTTCAGCAACAGTATAATTGTTTGACAAACTTATGTTTGTTCCGTGCACTGAATGAAACGAAAACGACGTGAACTGAACGCCTAAAAATTCCCATTTGTAGCAGTAATTTTTCGCCAAAACACAGTAAAACAGTACAATTTAAATTAAAGAACATATAATTAAAATTCCAAAAAATAAAGGTAAAGATCCTACTGCTTACCAGCGTGGTACCTCGATAATGGGAAACTTGAAGGTCTTGCTCGATAGTTAGCATTAGCAAGCACCTGTGATTTCAGAAGAGGTGCAGCACTCGTACGATTTTTTGTACTCCTAGTGGCTGAACGAAACCTCACTTCATTAGGATCTAAAGATGAAAAATTGTAGTAGTCTCATTATTGCGAGAGCAAGTTGAAACCAAAAACTCCGAAAACGTTTAGAAACTCGCTTGAAAAGCGTTTAGCTGTCACTACAAATGCATAAAACTCGGAAGCCAAAGCTGCTTAAGTGTTTCTGATAACATTAAAAAATTACCTATAAATTCTAAAGCTGAACTATTTCCGTAGATATCAACAATAATCCATATTGGCAAAGCAACGTTAATACCACTCAAAAAAAGTCCTTTCAAAACTCCATTAATACCGTAATAAAGTTCACCCTCAATATTAACAAAAAAATGTAAAATAGATCCTTCAACAGAATATCTCTCTGGAAGTGCCTTTGCCCAATACCCTTCCTTACTAGTTAAATCAGGGCAAGCAAATCTAAAAGAAAAAATGGTTTGACACAATGAAGAAGAAACTGATATTATTAAACACCTCATATGACCTTAAAAGATGAGTAATTAAACAGGTTACTCATTACTTTGGAAGCTCAGTCCCTCGAAATGATTCTGGATCAATATTTGTAACACCAAATCGAAGAACACCTGACCAATTTGTTACCACTTCTGAGAAACGTATACACACATTTTCATCTACCTGAATCGGCCTAAAAACACTCAACAAAGTATAAGTTAAATTAAAAAAACCATATCTGGCGACAATTAAGTGATGTTGTTCATATAAAAACTAGAGAGGAAATAGTAAAAATATGGCTCAGCACACATCATTAGAGCAGCAGCTGCGAGTTTTCAAAACTACATTATCTGACAGAATGGTTGCATACGTTAAAATAACTTGTTTCAAAGAAAAATACTTATTTTAAATCGAGATACACGACCCTTAAAACGAAAATTCAACTGTTTTCAAAGATAGTCTTTCCACCTCATTACCCAAAAAGAGATTCTTCCAGCGTTCTTGTACAAAGCAATATCACCGATAATTTGTATTTGAATACCAAAAAAATTTACCTGCTGCTAAAAGCCAATCCTTTACAAAAAGATTCAGTTCTTTTCGCTATCCGCCCACCACACGATATTGTGATATTTGACCCATGTACGCGATGGAAAGTCAACTGAGGAAGGGGCAAATCAGAGGTTCCTTGATTAATCATCGTATTTTCATCATAATTAGCTATCTGTACGCCATCGTCAGGCATCCCTTCTAAAACAACTCAGAAACATCGCTTATGAATGTTCATTTAGCACTTCCTCATAAAACATATATCAGTACTACAGTGAGTTCTTAATCCAAAAAAGAAAAACTTTTGATCATGAAGCAAAAAGTTCTGCTGCTTTTAAACGTCTAAATATCAACAGCACATCTTTTAATAAACACGGGATCGTTTTACACCAGTTCGCACACTTTTTCCGCTTGATGTCTAAAAATTTTTTTGAATTTCGACGATTATTAGAGTCTGAACTTTTAAAAAACCGAAGAATGGATGAATTTTTTTTCTTCGTACAAAATTTTTTACTTCCTAATAGCAAAACAAAAATTGCAGAGCGAGGTGGATAATAACCCGCTGTATACTACAAAAATCGCATGCATTTTGCGGCGGGGAAACCAACGTTATGTGCTTCTAATAGCCGTGAGAAGCCGTTGAAAGAAACTCATATACCACCTGTTATGAATTGTTTCAGAAAGTCATATTCTATATGAAAGTACTCGCGACTTGTTACTTTGTAAAAAGTAGTCAACATCAAAGTTACTTGTAATATAAATTTTAGAAAACAATGGTTTCTCCGCATAAACCGCGCGTAAAACAAAAGAACTTCAGCCTCAAAAATCTAAAATTCTGTTGAAATTGCTTTATTCGTTACTTCTGGTTACTTCAAGCATGACACGGTAACAGCTCATCTATTTCCTTCAACTTTTACAAATGAGACGCAAAGTAATGAAGATCATTTTCTTTTCCAATGGAGCTATCCCCAAGAACAAGAATAAAAAGAACTCTGCAACAATATATTTCAAGAAGCTCATTTCCATATTACTATAAAATAACATTTCTGCTTCTGCACGTGGGAAGCCCTCCAAAGCTGCTGTCCAAAATACTTTGAAAAAATTCGCTGCTATGACCACCTTTCAGAAGTCTTCTTCTGACCTAATATTAATACCTTAACATCTATACCGTTGAGATCAATAGAATTTTGCAAAGTATTAACGCAGCTTTTTCTTCATCGGCACACCATGAATAAAAGTGAGTGTTATTGTCAAAATTTGCAGATGCTCTTCGGAACAATGAAACAGGAAAAAAATTCATGCCGTTATTTCATCACCTGCAAGAAAGTTGTTTGCTAAACTATATTCCGTTTCTACCGCCGCTAACAGATATAATATGTAAGAACCAGAAGATGTTTGAGTCGAAACAGCTCATTACAGGTACACACAGTAAAAAATCATAAACACTTCTAAATAAGATATAACTTCATGAAAAATTTCTTAACAACTAAAATATGCAATTTTTAATAACGCCTTTCCAGGGATAGGAGCAGTTAACGTTGATTTCACCACTGCAGAACAAATACGATTGCGTTAAAAAGGCAGATCATCATCCATCACCATTTGCTTTCCAAGATATAACTCTTGATTCTTTCGGGAAAATATCACCAATTCGTAATATGCCAAAAAGCAAAAAATTCTACAGAAAACCCATGTTTTATTTTAAAAAAATAAACAATATTTTTTGCGACTCTAATTTGAACTTTCTCTTTTGCTACATCCACCTAATTACTTAACAATATTAAAAGACTTAACATTTATTCAAAAGCAAAAAAAATTCTGTAGGCCAAAAATTACTAAATTCCGCTTGGCACTACTGCAAGTCTGAAGGGATAGGGATTTCGAACAAGCGATCTCATAAATCCTGCAACTTTAAGAGAGCGTAACTTGGCAGAAAACCCGCTTTTCCAGGTCCTCTCTATCTTTTTTTAAATGCCAGTCCAGAATTTACTAATTAAATTTTTAGCATTGAAAAAGTACAAAATCATTCCGTAATACTCCCTATGACATCTAAAAAAAAGTTACGCACTTGACCAAAAATCGTTTTTACAAGATAATTTAAAAGTTCTTCTGCTATATAACTGCGGGTTACCTCCTTTCAGATTGTTGCCCATCGCAGACCGCTATTTCACCAGCAAAGTTTTTTATCGGGGAAAGGACCTAAAATTGCTGACTGTTAAAGGGAACGTTTGAACCTAAAACCAACCTAAAAAGACTTGAGCACCTGTAAAGAAAATGAAGTCTTGATGACACAGTCGTAATCGGAGAGCTAAGGTAATCATAAGTTATTAAGCCAACAACACAGTGACCGCAAAAAGAATTCTTCTAAGAAATATATTAACATAACAAAAAATAACTTGATCAAGTTAATACCATTTACGAGCCTAAGGCCAGCAAATGATTTCAACAAGCGCGACACGACTTAGTAAATACATTTCTACTGATATCATTAACTGAAAATTATCCAAGAGAAGACAGCATTATCCCAGTCAATAAGAAAAAAAAGCCTAAAATAAGAAAAACGTAACGCAGAGTAAATATGAGAAAATATTCAGTATACCATAGAAAACACAAAACCTTTTCAAGAACGCAAATAATCCCAGTTATCCAAGGTGTGTTCAACTCGATCTCAAAAGGTTTTGTAAATGACGAGTTTTTAAAACCTTGAACAAGGATGCAACCAAATATGGAAAAAATAAGAAATTAACGACAAAGCACCTCAAAAAATAAAACCTAATCCCGAACGCAAAACGTAAGCTTGTCTACGAAAATCGAAGACCCGAAATTACGCAGAACTAAGGAAAATGATGCAATGAACAGCTGCCCTGTACTACTGTTTGTCACGACTGTACTCACCGACATTCCTATATTCCAAAATAAGGAAAATTCCGCAAAAATCGGTTGGTCGCAAAACCGAACTTACCTTCGGAATGCGTTACCAAAAAGTCCCGCTGAGAAGTAACATTTTCAACTATCTCAACAGTTTCTAAACAAATTAC